TACACTTTGCAATAATTGAGTCCAAAACTCACTTGGCCAGTTCACATTCTTGGCAACGTTTTCAAAAAGAATAAATATTTGTCTACTTCTTTCTTTACAAAAAAGGGTTACTAACCTGATATTTCCTACAATGTCAAACTTTGAATTTGTACGATAAGTGGAATCGTGCCTTTCACTTGCCTGCTCTATTTATTTCATTTTAATTTGTGTTTGCTTCCCTCCCTCCCTCTCTCTCTCTCTCTCTCTCTCTCTCTCTCTCTCTCTCTCTCTCTCTCTCTCTCTCTCTCTCTCTCTCTCTCTCTCTCTCTCTCTCCAATTTGCATTTGTTTTTTCTGTAACTCCAACTGTCTTTCTTTCTTTCTTTCTTTCTTTCTTTCTTTCTTTCTTTCTTTCTTTCTTTCTTTCTTTCTTTCTTTCTTTCTTCTTTTTGTGATTGTTTATCTTTTTCCCTTTCCTCAAGTTGAAATTTCATTTGTTTATCCTTCTCTTCTGAAATTCCAATTGCATTTTTTTTCTGTAATTACATTTTCATTTGTTTATCTTCTTTATCTTTCTGAAATTCAAACTTCCTCAATTCTGCTTCCATTTTATATTTTCTTTTTAGTTCCATTACTCTAATGTAAGTGTCGGTTATAGACTTACTGACTGATACCAAAACACTTTTGAAAAATATTTTTCCCAACCAAATATTGAATTATAATGTATTTAATTTCTCGCTTTGTTAAGGAAGCTTTTATCTTAGAAAGATTTAATGTTATGCAAGTTCATGCGACTCGTCTTTCTTCAGACTATCCAAATGCAGCTAAGTTGGATTAGAAAGAAAACTCTCCACTTTTTATAACGACGTTTTCTTTAAAGATATCAAAGATCAGCTAATTTAAACATCAGCTAAATTCAAATATCAGCCAAATATTTCGATCCCAGAAGAGCCCCCAATTTTGTCTTGCTAACAAAATCAAATAGTGGAGAAAGCAGGGCTTGTAAGTTTTAACAAAGATAATTATATTCCCTAGACAACACTGTGAGAAGGTAAAAATATAAAACAGGACTTAAGGTTTGTGAATAAAAATCCAAACAATTATTCTCTCTCTCTCTCTCTCTCTCTCTCTCTCTCTCTCTCTCTCTCTCTCTCTCTCTCTCTCTCTCTCTCTCTCTCTCTCTCTCTCTCTCTCTCTCTCTATATATATATATATATATATATATATATATATATATATATATATATATATATATATATATATATATATAAATATATATATATATGATCTGTAGATCTTCTATAAATTTGATCTGGGAAATGTGAATTGAGATTCTCAATATGTCAGATATTTATAGAGATATGCATTTCTAAAGTCTGCTTTTTATTTTTTGTGGATTTTTGTTACTTCCGATTAAAAGATAGTCCTACTTCCTGGTGATCCAATTAAAACACCAAACATGATTTATTTCAAAACTACACGTGATTATACCAAATTAATCTCCTCTGAATAAAAATCATTGTTAACACATTTCTTGGGCTTAAACTATAGATAAATCGCAATATGCATAAATTGTACCCTAATAACATGGGCTGTTTTACCATATGCTCCATTACGAAGACTAATGAAATTTGTTTAAGATACAAGATACACGTATTAGCTAAGTGTCTCTGTGATTTCATCCTCAGATCACTTTGTGGTTGTACCACATATTCTATACTAGCGCCAGTGCTGAACTTGTATAAAGTTGTACAAGGCAATGACTTCGATAGTTCACTCGATTCTATGATGAACTAATTAAAACAGATAGGATATATATATATATATATATATATATATATATATATATATATATATATATATATATATATATATATATATATATATATATATATATATATATAAAAGTACACTTGTGTTCGAAATTCAGTGAATGATTTATTTATTTCGAAAAGAAGTGTATCTTCCTAATGTAATGTATTATCACAGTTGTTTATGTAACTGATTCAATTGTTGTCTATTCGTGTACGGGTCTACGGGGTTGGGATAATGTCATTCTGTTTTATATATCTGCTCAGATCTCTATTTATTCTACCTATAAGTCTCACACTTTATATTAATATTTATTCGAACCGAGCAACAACACCGAGTGCGATCATACTCTAGATAACGATAACCCAATAAAGCGGGGACCATGTAAGAATGTACAATCCGCCAATCAACCCCACCAACTGCCACCTCCCCAGGTTATTTTTTGTTTAATAACATAGATGCATATTTAGTATAAAAAGGGTATATATATATATATATATATATATATATATATATATATATATATATATATATATATATATATATATATATATAATGGGTACAAAATATAAAAAAAAAAACACAAAAAGATATAGTTTCATATTTCCAGTCCGTAAGCTACATCCAATATTTGCAACAGGATTTAGTCAAGTTCTAAGAATACATTACAATCTCCTAGCTCCGGATGTTGCTTCAGCTTGTGGGGTACCCCATCTTTAAGAGTACTGTAGGATATCAGTAGAATAATTTTCTGTGAACATTACATTATCAACATAAGCTAATCATGCTCTCATTTACAAATAATACTACATTGTGAGAACATCAAGATGGCTTCAGGCAGTTCTTCTTGTGAAATAGTGCAATGCCCACACGTGGTGTCATAACTTTATGTCCTCTAGAAAAACAGGATTTATTACTGTTTTCGAGCCAAAGCAAGATGTTAAGGAACTACTGCACTGAAATTCATTCTAAAGCCCACGACCAAGTGTGCCTCCAAAATGGAATGTTTTTTTTTTCTTTTGTTTTTAATATGTTATTAAATCTTAAAAATATACTGCTCGGATATATTGTTTGGGCATAAAAATTTCATCATAAGTAAGTTTGAAATTCTATATACTTATAAATAAGAGGAAAATTTTATAGTTCTAGGTCACTCTAATACATTCTTATTTTTGATCAAAATTTTCTAAAGAACTAAATGGCGACTTAATTACCAATAAAAATTTAGCCAGTGTGATCTTTTTTTTTCTAAAATACATGTATTATCTACAGTGCTTTGCCAACGAATCACAGATGGCAAGACGGTTCCCGTCAGCACTATTTTATAGTCACATCTCCGTCCTCTGGCAATATCAGCAAAACGAAGAGAGCTATTGCTCCAGATGAATCCCTTATCTTACTTGACTTGGCTGAAAACTGTAGCTTTATCGTTTCACAAGCCATGCTTCACCCATTTGCGGTATATTACAACATGAATGGCAAGATAAAATACTGGTATGTTTGTATTATTTCGGATTACCTCAAGCCGGATACTGTCACTCTACATTCCTTTATTTTAGCCCAGATACCATTTCTCAAGACCATTTTACCATCCATCAAGATCAAATATTTTAGTGATGGGGGAAAATAGCCAATAACAAACATGACCACAGACTTAAGTCGGAATGGGCTGTTTTTGTTACGTATCAAGGCAAGAGCAGCTGCGACAGCATCAGTGGTACAGTAAAGTGTCTAGCTGCTCCATGCTTGCAAGCAGCAAGTCCACAAATGTTGTCACCAAACTAGAAGTTCAACTTGTCAACTGAAGATATTCATGGGTAAAACTGTATTATGAATCTGTTGATGTTGTAAGCAGGAAAGCAAAGTTTAATTTGTCTGAACACTTCACTTGTGTAAAGACTGTTGCAGGCACCCGTTTTCATCACTGCTATATTCCAATACCTAGTGTGGAATTGAAGATAGTCTCTGCAGACTAATTTAACGAAGGTCTCACAAGGTGGGAAGTAGACAAATGTGACTGCCTGATTTCAAACACCATGATAATTTGCTGCCTGCAAGGTATGTGACAAGCAATGGTATATTGGAAGTATTGTTTGGCACTCTGATCTACACTGTGATATATTTAAAGCTTCATAAAATGATCCCATACAGGAAATCTCTTCTGGGCACCTGCATCACGCAGAGATCAGTGGTGGGTTCTATTCCAGGATATAATCTGTCTGATTATTGCTACTGAATTAAAATGACAATGCCCGATGATACTATCAACGACAATGAACGGATTCAAGAGAATTGACAGCATTTTTGCAATTCATGTGTAATTGTGAGTGATCACTTAATTGAAGTATTTATGTTTGTGTTTCTTGCATACCTTAATAATTTTTTTTGTTAATATTTTTTTAAATATAAAAAATTACTGCTTAAGTTTATTGTTTATTATTGTAATAAATCCAGGGTATGCGGCATTTTCATTTACGTCTCCATTTGATAGATTTATTAGATTTTAGTGATTAGTTATTTGATAATCGAAAGTCGTTGTTGGTGAAATATTTTTCAGCCCCAGTAATTAATCAGTTTTAGGACAAACGTCACATTGTGCAGTATTGATGAGATTTTATGATGGTATGGTTTCATTTCATAGTTTAGTTCAGGTCGCGCCGGAGCAAAACTTGCGCGAGTGTTTGGTTCACTGGGTAAAGAGACCTCTTGAATTTAACATTATTAATCTTTTCGTGTATTTGGTGTTTTTCATGAATCTTTTATGGAAATTAATTTGGTACAATCCCCTGTAGGTATAGTTTTCAAATAAAATCATGTTTGGCGTAGGTGATGGATGACACGGTAGTAGTGTTACCTTAAAATTTGACGAAAAAAAAAATCCATAACGAACAACAAGGCTAACTTTAGGGTAATCGGTGGTCACAAATATGTATCAAAATAAATTTCAACCTGATATCTCTATAATAAAAAATTTTTTACAAGCATTTGAAAAGAAAAACTATGCTACGTAGCTTTAAAATTTGTTCAATCACATCGCTATGATGTCTGCAGTGTGGCAGTTTATAATAATGTCTAGCACTGAGCTATCATGCAGCAATGTGGCATCATATCCCACCCAGTCACACTGTCCTGACACCAGGCCAACCAGTACTAACACTAAACTCTTAATGTTGAGCGCCAAGCGTGGCAGCTGAAAGTAAGATTTTAATTTTTTTTTGGTGTGACTCGGAAGGTTCGAACACAGGACCTCCCGCATCTGAGACGGGCGCTCTAACCACTTGAGCCAAACGGAGTGGTCGATTATGTGAAGTAAAAAGAGTCTAAAGCCATAATGAAAATTTGTGAAACATTTTCCTTCACACTAGATAAAACATCTGTGTAAAAGATTCTTTTTACTGAAGAACTTGCTTCCTCTATGGATCGGTCTAACTTTCTGGAATCTCTCTTTAGTAATTTATTGGATATGATCCACATCAAACACCCACTAAGTCTCTTTAATTTGCTAAGTGTGTAGAAATTCTGCTTGGAACGCATAATTTTTCATTTTAAAAGACAGAATGTAACATCTAATGAAATGTATTTTGTGTGTGAAACACTGATACAATAAAAAAAAAATTGTGCACCATAACAGTAAATCATGATACTGTATTATCAGGTTTCAGTTTAACAGTGGTATTCTATTGAGAGGTTTCATTTAAACAAACTTTTAAATGTTTTGTAATAGAACCTACTAATATACTGCATAACTGTATGAAAAATGTTTGACTTTGATAAATATTGTTTCAAACAATTACGAATTTGTATTAATTCTTTCAACTTTGTTGTCTTCGATTTATTCATAGATTTTAAAAGCCCAGTGAAACATTAAGATACCATTTATTACATCATTATCCATACACATCATTGAAAGATCTGCTATGGCGTTATTGTCTCTTTGTTACTTAGCTTGAACAAAAAAAAAACATAAATTGGTAGTTCTTTAAAAGGAAGGAAGATATTTACAAAGAATACTGACATTTATAAATTTGGAAATGTCCTCATTTTTCTTATAAAAAATAATTAATGAACAGCTGGTTCATACGTTTTTTTTCAAACTATGATTGGTGACATTGGTGACATTGACGAAAATATTAGTTTATAACTTTACCCTTTTATGTTCTCTGTCAAAATCAAAACCATAACTATTTCCAAAAAATTCCATTTATATACATGACATATTTAACACTGATATCTTCATCATCGTCATCATCATCATCAATCTCTTAACGCAAGAGGTTTTTGGGGTACCACAGTTGACTTTACAACCAATTATCTCCATCTTTGCCTGTTATCTACTGCCCTTTGGGAATCTACAAATATCATGCATGTCCACGCCTCAATGTTGTCTTCCCAACTCTTTTTCTGTCTGCTTTTCTTCTGCACCCTCACACTGTGGCTTGTAAGATTGTTTTTGCCAGTCCAGATGATCTTGAGACATGACCGTACCACTTCAGTTTGCGCTTTTTTTTACAGTGGTCCAGAGGTCTTCGTAGGATCCGATGGCTCCTTGGATCACGTTATGGACTTCTTCGTTAGTTACATGATCAATGTATGAGATGCCCAAGATCTCATTTCAAAGGTTGGAATCCTTCTTTGCAGATCAAATGTGAGCGTCCATGTTTCACAAGCATACAGATAGATGTATATAACATTTGTGCGCATCAGCCTTATTTTGGAACCAAAAGTAATGTTGATATCTTTCCATATTGGTCTCAATCTTGTTATTGCTGCTCTTGTTTGGGCAATACTGCAAAGTAGTTCTGGTTTAGAGCCCTGATCTGTGATAATTGATCACAAGTACTTGAAGATTGTGACTCTTTCCAGCTTCTGTCCACTAACCTTTATTAATGTACTTATGCCGTTGATGTTGTTTGTCATCAGCTTATTTTTTTTCAGCGCTGATCTCCATACCGTATGCTGTGGAGGTTGTGACGAGGCGCTCAACCAAGTCAGTTCTTTTTCATCTCTTGCTAAACCATCAATATCATCTGCGAAACGAAGGTTGGTGATTGTTCTTCCTCTGATGCTGACAGTACCCTTGTAGTCATGCAAAACATCCTCCATGATCGTATTTAGGAAAATGTTGAAGAGTGTAGGTGACTGTATACATCCCTGTCTAACTCCAACAGTTCTTTGAAACCAATCACCTCTGCTGCAATTAATGATGACAGCACTGGTGGCTTTGTCATACAGGTGCTCAACAACCTATAACAGGTTTGAACTGATGCTGTACTTCCTCATAGTTGTCCATAAGGTACATGCCATTATAACCTTATCAAAGGCCATTTTGAAATCTATAAAGATGTGGTATACTGCTCATACTGAAGGTATTTCTTGCAAAGGAGTCTGAGATTGAAGATTTGTTCTGTTGTGCTTCTTCCTGCTCGGAAACCTGCCTGCTCTTCAGCAATAATTTTCTTTGCTTGAGGCTTGGGCCTATTGAGAATTATCTTCAGCATGACTTTGCTTGGGTGACTTATCAAACTGATGGTTCTATAGTTTTGGCATAGTTGTAGGTTTCCTTTCTTGGGGAGCACAATGAGCAAGGATTGAGTCCATGTTGTGGGCCATTCTCCTGTCTGGCATATCTTGTTGCAGTTTGTTATTAGGACTGACCATCTCTTCTCCTCCTGCTTGTATGAGGTCTGCTTTTATGTAGTCAATACTGGTTGACTTTCCCTTCTTTAGTGACCTAACTGCAATTTCTATTACTTAAAGAATAATGGGGTTGTCATCAATTTCTTCTGCCTGAGGGCAATTTAGTATTGTTGTATCTCCTTGTCTTATGATTGTACAATTCTGAGCAGTATTCTGTCCATCTCTTTAGGATCTCTTGATCTTTGTGAAGCATTTTCCTGATTTGTCCTGGATGGTGGTTGTTTTCTCTTGTTTATGGGTTGTGAGATCTTTCACCAGTTGATATGCCATTTTGTTGTTATTTCTACTCAGTCTGTCTTTGATTTTGCATCATCATCTTTCTATCTAGGATTTCCTTGCCTTTTTCATGCTTTTCCTGATCAAGTTGTTTATCTCTGTATTTTCTAGCTCCTTCATTGATCTCTTTCTTTTCCTTTCTCAGTTCATTTCTTTTGTCGCATAGCTTAAGGACATCTGTTCTGACCCAAGGTTTCTTTGTTTCATGATCTAGATAGCTGTGCTACTTATAGCTGTGTTGAATGTGGTACAGATTTATTGGATCCATACTGGATGGAATAAGGCACTCCTGCCCTCATGAGTCTCCCAACTATTGGTAAAATAGTGTGATGATAGCACAGTATCAATGAACTCAATGGCCAGAGCGTGCCACATATCAGTGGATTTCGGCTGTGGTCATCTAGTCTGGAGAGAGATGGGTGCTCAGTGGATTTCGGCTGTGGTCATCCAGTCTGGAGAGAGATGGGTGCCACCAGACTTTATCTTGCCCTTGATACACCACATCATGGGCATTGTGAACAGCATTATGCGTTGCTGTCCAGTCTCAAATAGACTCATTACCATCCGCCTGAAGGCAACTCACTTCAACCTCACAATCATACAGGCCTATGCACCCACATCTATCGCTGATGACAATGATCTGGAAAATTTTTATAACCAAGATGTCACTGATAACACACCCAAGAAGGGCATTGTTTGTACAAGGAGAATGGAATGCAAAGGTGAGAGTTAATTCACAAACTGGCAAAACACTGGTATGCTTCATCACATATGAAACTAACAATTGAGTTTCTGCTGTATATTATTTGCAAAAATCATTTAAATGTATGTTCTGTTTTGATAAGTAGATTTAAGTTATTATAACTTCAAAATTTATATATTTTAAATATTTCTTTTAGTTTTTGTGTGGCTTCATTTCACTTTAGTACTTGTGTGATATATCACATTGTCCTCTTTCAGAATCCTGTCTTTTAGTTTTATTCTAGTAATAAATAACATAATTAAACTGGAAAAATTCTGACATCATCTTGTCCATTGTTTTCTGTGAGACCACTAATCCTGTCATCCAATCTTCAAAAGAACCTGAAACGTGACAACAGGCACATCAAAACATCATTGTTAGGCCAAATGAAAAAGTATGCGTGGTTCTGGGTACCCCAACCCTACTTTTCCCTGTGAACATTACATTTCTTTTTGAAAAAAAATTTGGAAAACAAAACACAAAAATTCTTTTTTTAAATGTTCCATTTTAATTATTTCACCTTTTCAGAGAATCATACATTCCAGCCTGAGTAACAATTTTCTTTTGGTTTTTGGTCATATATTCCTTTGACACCACTTTTCTAGGGTTTTGGAGACGGTGTCCAATTTTTTCTATTTATCATTTACATTTTTGTAGTATCTTGCTCTTTGATTAAGAATTGACTAATCTGCATTTGGGTGGGTGTAGGTGGGGTGGGTGTAGGTGGGGTAAGAGCTGGAGTACACAATGATATTGCTCTATCTGGTGCTGATTCAGATGATCTTATACTTTGCTGAACCTTTAGAGGGCATTTCATCAGGTGCTTTTATATTCACAAACAACTGCTTTTCCTAGGGTAAACATGGACACACGAGTATTGTCAGCTTATACATGTATATTACGATCTTTACTGTAATTTTAAAAAGTATACCGGTACCATTAACTTATTCTGTGATATATTTATGTTCCACTTTTTAAAGTATATAAAATGATAACTATTTTCGTATATTTTGGATTTGTTCATATGTGAAGGAGATTATATTAAAACATATTTATTTGTGTTATTTGTCCTCTTACTTCTGTTCATGCTTCATATAGATTAATAAAATGTTCCAATAAAATCCTTAAATATGAAAAGAAAAGAGTCAGTGAGATTCACAATCTGAAAAGGTGACAATTCTTATGTTTACCACAGGCAGAAAAAAATGACACACTCCAAAAACTTTCTTTTCAAAAAAAATTTGCCTCCACTGGAGTAGACGAGTCTTAACTCAGTCCCAAAAATAGAAATGTGAGGGCTTAATGACAAATAGTTTAGTCTAGTAAAACGAACTTAAATTATTATTAAAATAAAAGTCCAACAGAAACTCAGAGACTTTTACACAATTTTATTCAAATCAAACAATCCACTGCTGAAAAGAAAAATAAATAAATAAACCTATTATTAATAATTGCACAAAGTCTTACTACAAATAAATAAAATGGTGTCACCATGAAATGACATTGCACTTTAAAAATACAGTCCCACTATATGAATTGGAAAAGTTCGCATACCAAATGCTTACAGTCTGCC